GCAAGTAAAATCAGGTGATAGCACTAGCACACCATGTGCAAAGTAGCTCCCAGTAGTACTGAAACTAGTATATTCAGTGGAATATAGCAGAAAACAAGTCAGCACCCACAAAGGGAATAAATTAAGAGCAATAGCTGTCAGCATGTATCAGAGGGCAGAATTGTACTTTTCCATTATTTGAAATGGGCACTAGTGTTCCCTTTTTCAGGATAAAATTTTATGTGAGACTGCAAGATCAAATGGCAAAAGTACTAGAAGTTCCTGTTTTTTTCTAATTCTTGCAACTTTCATATCTTGTATGTGAGCTTATTGCTAATCTTTCATATTCTCTTTGTTGAGCCTTTTGACCAAGCTTGTATTTGCACAGAAGTTACAAACAGGAGTTTAGGAGCTCTGAGGTGAAGCACAATAGATAACAATATCCAACATCTGGGATGAAGAAATACTGTATTTTAAGTGGGCCCCTCAAAAGAATAGAAAAGTAAATATATAAATTCTGACATGACTGTGTGTTTTATGTCTACTAGCTTTGTAATTTTATTTTGAGGCAGATGACTTATCGTATTGAATCATCTAAAGCAATGCTAGACTTGAGTCTACCAAGGGCCGTTTTGGTAGTGCTTGCCACCTAGTGGATTACTGCTTGTATACACATAGGAGAAAGATCAGCTGCCACCAAAATATTTGAAAATCACACTATTAATCACACTATTTGATAGTATCCTGCAGAATTTGAGTACTACTAGGTGGGTTTTTTTTATTGTTGTTATTGGGATGAAATTATAGTGAAAATTTAAATAGAAATTGCAAACATCTCCATAACTAATATCCATTTTCTGATAGCTCTATCTATAGCTATGACGTGACTCGATGACAAGCAACTGGAATTTAAGACCCAGTGAGTCATCAGTATATGTGGCCATGAACTGTAAACTCAAGCCCTAAGCTAACACTCTGTTATGACTGTAGTTGGTGAACATAAGTGAGCTCACTGAAATTTATACCAGTTGTTTCTACTTCTCCTATCAGAGTTCGCTGTGGCCTTGTCATTTTTTAAATTTCTGGTATGTGTCCAGCAGGAACTGGATTTTCTCAACTTTACCTCTTCTGTTAGCCAAATTGCTTGGAATGGTTGTCATCCATTTTGTTGACCTGGACTTGAGTTTCTACCTGTGTAATAATTTACCTTTCACTACTGCCCAGTAGTCTTACAGAAATCAAAAGTGTTACTCACAACATAACACAATCTGCAAAAATCTGTACGTAGGTTACAAGGGTCTATCAGCTACTTACAAAACCCACTTCTCCACACAAATGCAGCCCTCCTGCCAAAATTGGAGTCCCCTCTTTCAATTTTTAATATAATTGAGCTTTTATTGATTTTTGTAGTAATCAATGTATTTAAAAACATGGACTATCTTAGCAGAATTCTTCCCAACACATCCAGCCTACAGGTGACAGTTAAGGGAAGTTGTCAGCAATGGAATTGTCAGGTTTGAATGCAGCAGGTTTTCAACTGATGTTTGTAATAGTATTTTCTACTATTCCATGATGATGACAACGTCAGAAAGTATTCACCAACACCTTTATGGTATTCAGGAATATTCAGTTTATGCTTTTCCCTTTTAGAAGAGTTTCCAATTAATCTTACTAAGCTCAAGAACATACCTTAATTCTTACTTGTTACTGATATGTTCATATAGATGTTTTAACAATTTATAGCATTTTATGATCAATAACCTACTCAGGAGTGTAACTTGATATGCAGATGTTAAATTGAGTCAGAAAATTCCACGGGGTCTGTGTTTAGTCTGGCTGTTACTTATCTGAGGGTATTTGGATGTTGCAGTGCATTATGTGACCATCATATATGAGAGTTCATGATATATACCTCTATTTGCCATGGCAATGTCATGACTGAGGATAGGTTTGGTTTGGTTTTTCCCTTCCCCCTAACAACTGCTATAGGGAATTTGTATTCTGATCAGAAGGTGAAATACAGATTGTTTATACAGTGAATTCCTCCACTTTCCATTATATACTGATTATCTTTCTAACACTACAGAGTACATTAATTTCATCAGAAAGATCATCATAAATACTTGAAATTAAGAAGTATTTAAGAAACTTTGTACAACAATCATTCTGTTTTCAAAAAGTAGTTTAGGAATAATTTGATCTTTGTCCAAATTTAGAAAGTTTTATTTTAGTACCTTAATAAAAATCTGTACCCAGTACCATAAGCTTGAAAAGTAATTTTTATTACACACAAAAAAGAATAAGGAAAATAGACATTGTAATTAAAGATTTGCTTTCATCTACAAATAAGTATCTTGGGTAACAAAACAATAAAATATTTTTTTAAGTTCTTGTGAACAGTTAGAAACACAGGAAGGAATTTTCTGAAATAAAAGCAAAAGAAAGAGACATCTGAAATAGAAAATATTTGGCAATATCTCTTAGTCCCTCAATAAAATATCCATGTAAACAAACAATCCATATTTACAATATCACGTGCGATATTCTTGGTTACACGTAGTAACAGCATATATGTGATTACTGTTTTAAAATCTAATTTGCGTCATCATTTCTCAGTTTCATTAAGGTTATAAAAAAACACTGTTCTGTCTCTGTGCGTAGTACTGCATGACAGCATGTAAATACAATACTTTTTTTTTTTTCCAGGCATCTTAAAAAGATACGCTTTGAATGTTAGGTTTTGTAACTTCCTATGTTTTTATAGGAATCAAAGCTTTGGAATATAAGCTCTACAATCACATCTCTGTAAAAACAACAATGTAGAAGATTTCTAAACATGCAGAAAAATCCTGATAAAAAAGCTTCCTTTTACATATTTGAAAATACACTTTATTTCCTATGTTGCTACTGTTACTCATAAATACAGGCAAGAAAAGTTGCATGAAAGAAAGTTAATGGAAGGCCACTTTGAGAAGTAGATTTAAGACTATTACTCTCCAAAGGCCTATGTACTTTAATTTAGCAATTGAATGAAGCTCATATTTTGCAAGGATACTTAAAGACCATTTTAATCAGTTTAGAATGAAGCCAGAACTATGTTTGGTCAGTCTTAAACTAAAGGTGGATCAAGGTTTAGGAGCTCACAGCTACTGCATCTCATGGGGACTTTCCACAGAGCAGCAGCCAGAAGCCCACAGTTCATGCACATGAGATATGATTGATTATCATAATTTCCCCAAATGGAATCTTTCAGCTTCCACTGAGTTACTACTATTGTGTTTAACCTCTAAGTTGAAAAACAAGCTCCTCTCAAAAGATTGCTAATCCTCAATTTTCAACTAGTTTTATATCATCAGAATAAAGAAGTAAAGAAATGCCACCATTCTTTTTTCAGATATCCCTCCCCTTGAACAGTACATGGGATGAAATGTAAATCAGAAGGCATACTGGTTACTATGGCTTAAGTTTAACACCATAGAGAACCAATCACCTAAAAGCTGTTCATTTCAATACATCAAGGCAGTGCTGAAACAAAAGAAGTCATGGATTTTGTGGGGCTTTTCCTAGTACACTGTACAGATAATTTCTTCCAGAAAAATCCTTAGGCAACTGACTACCTTCCATACAAACATACACTTTCATTAGATGACCAAGTACTGTGCAAGGATTGAATAAACTCATTTTCCCAGGTGGGTGAGACACAGTAACAGGCTGACACACAAGTTACAATGCTGTTGCCTGGGTGAGTGCAGCATACAAAGCTGCTCAGTAAATTACTGCGACAGGCAGGTTCATTTATTCACTTCCCCTGTCATACTTCACTGTTTGACTCACTGCACATAGTGGGACTGAAGGAGTGCTCACACAATAGTTTAGTATTCCTTCTGTCATACCTGAATTCTACAGTAAGGCATTTAAAAGCAGGTATTTTCCCCAGTGAAAAAATACACCAATGCTACGTTGGTCCCAGTCATCCACAAACATGTAAGTGTAAATATAAAATTCTGGGATGTAGTCCTTGAGTACCAAATGGTACAGTAGAAAAGCTTTTAAAATATTTTATGATGCTGGCTTTCTCTACTGCATTCACCAAAGAATTAAATGTTATTACAAATCAAATAACAGGAACTGCTTTTTGTCAGAGAAGATCCAAAATAACTCATGTCCAAAATAGTTTGTACTAACACAACATTGAACTGCAAAAAAGGCATATTTGTTGAAGTTTAATGTGTTTAAACATTTTTAAAACCTGAAGCAGATAAAAACTTATGTAGTATTTAAAAAATTAGGAAATTATATGGTGTCTGAAACTGTCTATATTCCAATATGAACAGTGGTAAATTTGAACTTGTAGTGGGCTCTGCAGCTTTTACAAGAGATTATCATAGAAAGGCTTATCATTTTAACATGTGCAGTCAAAATAATCTACTATACTTATTCTTCCATAGTAGTAAAAATATATTGTTCATATCTGTGAAATTATTGAATGAGTATAATACATTAATACTTCAATTATTAGAAAGAGCTATAAAAGTAAAGTGCCAGTAGAGACTCAAGCTGCATTATTTAACACTTTAATTTCAAATTAAAAAGTCATAGAGTTTAGATAGTTTGCTTATAGACTAAAGTATGTCTTCACGCCTGTGACAGTGATGATTGTGTCAGTGTGGAGATGCCCAAATTGGCTTTCGGTTAATAGGTAACACTTCAATCAAATCAGCAAAGCTCAGCTGTTTCTTTGAGAAAGCATTTCTTACTTCAGGCTCCTTTTTTCTGACAGACTGATAGTAGTCTTTTCTGGTTTCTAACCTAATTTCTAGTCTAGTGCCATAAATCAACAGAGCTGTGCAATCAAATAAAGATAGTAAAATGCTGCCTTCTGGGATAAAAGGAAGACTTGGTTTAAGTGATATATCTGAGTGTGTTTCTATAGCTTTTCAAATAAGACAGATTCTGCATTTGGATTTCCATTCTGTGTTTCCTTAGATTTCAGTAATGACTGCACATAAGGCAAAGCCAAATGTTGTCTGTATACAATATAATTGGTAGAGTTTGTTAAAAAGTCAACAGATATGTTCTGATTTAAAAAAAAAAAATAACCCACAAGTTTGTAAAGGAAACATAACATTTTATGAAGTTATCAAGCAAACTTTTAATTTCTTGTTTTGAATTAAAAATTTTAGACTAAAATTGGAGTCATTTTTATGGAGCAACTCTTCAAAGTGCTGAATGACCTCAAATCCCATAGATCTCAGCAGCTGGTGAGGGGATTAATGATCTAGAGAAATCACAGCTCTAAACAAGTGAAAATTACCAGAAAGTTTATGTGTGAACAACTAAATTCTTCTATCTGATATACTTCATGACTGAGTTATAACCTGCAAAATCACTCAGAGCAAAATTTAGTCTCAATCTTGTTAATTTTTCATGGCTGTAAGAGATATAAGCACAAAATTAAGAAATTATATGGAAAACATTTTCCAATTATGTGCTTTTCCCATTATGTTATGTCATTCATGCTTTTGTTTTTTAATGGAGGACTGAGCATGACCCAATATAATATGTTTGGGACTTACTGGAATTTAAACTCATATGCAGAAAACTTGAGTCTCTTTGAGCAAGCCATAGTGAAAATAACCCCCAACCTATTTTTATATCAATATAACTATTAGAAGGAACCCCACCAGGGGGAGGGGCAGGATTTGGCAGTATAATAGTACTTTTATTTGGTGTATTTTCTTTACATAGTTGATCTTTGGCCTGCGTCATCCAATTTGAGGTTTTGTTTTCTGGCTGCTTCAGTACTGATCCTCAGGTCAGATTTATCTGCATTACTCCTATTTGTCATTGTGGATTCCACTTCTGTGCCTTCAGGAGTCCCTCCAATGGGCCGCAGGACTTTAGTGTTCTCTTCTAGGGGGCGCTTCCAATGGGGCCTGCTGGCCATCCACAAAACAAGGGAACCAAATACGACAAGCAAAAGGCCAAGACAGTTGACCAAAGTTGCTTCTGGTGGGGATGCACTGTATGCAGGATTTCTCCTTTGGAAGGGGAAAAGGAAAGAAAAAGTCAGAAAAGATTGTTTTAAAGACAATCCTGGTCTAAAACCAGGAGTTTCCTGCTAGGCAGTCTTTTTAAAACAAAATGATTGTCCCAATACTAGATGGCACGCAGTATTATTCTGTGCATACAGAAGTATAGTTTCCAATTAATAACTTAAAAACAAGTGGAGAAAGTACTTACAATGAAAATATAAGCTTTTCTGTGATTCCCATGAGAGCAGTTGCAATCACTGTTGCAAAGATGGTGAGACCCGAATAAACGTGTATTGGCATGAGAAATGCTCGGAGATAAACTGGAGCAAAAGGGAGCAGAAAGACAGCAAAACCCAAGACGAGCTAAACACAAAACAGATTTATAGTTAAAGCTGTAAGGAAAACATGCAGCACTTCTCAAGCAGAATAAAAAAAAATCATAAAAATTCCATTCTCAGATGTCTTCAGGTAAAAATTTGAAAAGAATTGGCATTTCTATTTTTAATGTGTTTCCATTCAAAACCAAAGCAAAATTCTGGATTAGCACTTAGGGAGCAGACATCAAATATTTTAAAAATAATCCTACTTAATACCAGTGTCCAAACTTACTGGTAATGCTAAAACTGCAACCAAACTAAGTACTGAAAACACACAAGTTTTCAGTGTCACTAATACAGTAATATATTAATGGTGTGAGTAGCTACTTTTTTACACTCTCTTCAAATCCTGTTCTCTGCTCTTGTTACAGATCTATACATAAATGGAGATCAGAAGGCAGTCTAACCTTCTGACTTGGGTGGGTTAAATAATTTTGCTTTGTTAGAGTTTTAGTTAAAGTACATATCTTTAGAAGGGGAATGGTCTCTCAATGTATCAATCAGATAGCATTTACAGAGATGCGTATGGGTGGTGTCAAGTTATGCAGAGGAGATTAGTCCTCCCATTAGCACTAATTCTGTGATGGAAAATAACCCATTGTGTCACATGGTTGCAGTCACAGGCTTGCTCAGACTACTGAGGTTGCATCCCTTCTTTAGTTTGTTTTACCATTACTCAGCCCTGCTGCTAAATTAGAAATAGTGCATGAATTTGTATTTCATCTTGCTTTAACTTGCTGTATTAGTCCTTGTTTTGTCTTTCCATGATGGATTAAGGAGCCCGATACTTTATCCCTGGAAAGCACTTTAATACACTGTAATCAAGTCATCTCTTAATCTTCCTTAGATCTGCTAAACAGTTGGAGCTTTTTAAGTCTTGCACTGAAAGATAAGTTTTCCCAACTCTCAAATTACTATTCCAGAGTTTTTTTTCTGGTCATTCTTTTTATATATATAAAAAAAATTATTCCATAGTATTTCATGTTAGTTTTGCTAATGCCATATTTTTCTTGTTGTCACAGCTTTGTGAGAAGTCATTTTGAGATTCATATAATGTTTGAGTACTTCATTCCAGAGACACTGTTTTCCAAGACACAGTCTCCATTTTAAATTTCTGCCCTATTCCTAAATTTATGTCTGTGTGCTGTACTGTGTTAACGTACATTTGACATAAATACATTTACACTATTGTTCCTGGAGGCAGAGTATGTGAGCATATGACTGACATGCCATTCCTGGCAAAGGCCAGGTGTCTTCTCTATTAACAGAGATAATACTTTATGACTGTTTTTAATAGTGCTCAGTCACTTAACAAACCTCAGTCTCTGACTGGAGATTTACACCCCAGCTTGGAGGAAGTAATACCAAAGATCTGTTGATGAGACAGGCAATGCATTAAGTGCCATTGGCCATGTTTATAGTAACAAAATGAGAAGTAGAACAAAGACCTTATTCACAATTCTTTATTTAACCACTAGAAAAAATGCCAATACTATAGTGGTAGCACAGATTTCCCAGAAATAGCTGCATTACTAGGACAAAGAATATTATAACACCGTTCCTTCTTATTCATACTAATTTCATTTACTTTTTCAGCTAGAGAGAATATACTCAGCTACAATATGCTTTCTGTTTTTTCTAAGTGTTAAAAACTATTTGAACACTATTTCCTGAAGCTCCTAGCTTGAGCAGTGAAGGATAAAAGTCCAGAACCCAAATCCCTCAGCTGAGGATTTTCTGTGCTGGATCACAGATAATGAAGTCTTTTTTCTTCTTAGTGTTTTGGCAAAAAAAAAAAAAATTGAAAGAACAAAATAGATTTCTTTAGTATAATAACACAATACAGGAAGTTCAGTACGTATATGCAGAAACATCATATCTGTATGTGTACTGTAGATGTCAGGGCATGCCCGGTCCACTTCTATGCCAAATGCAAAACATACTAAGTTAGCTCATTTTACATTATAATAATGCCAATTCTCTGCCAACAGGAGCAGTTTAGAGCATGCCCACAAACATCTATCAAAGTTTTGCTGATTCAGGAAAATCAGCCAGTATAGCTTATTCAGATCTCTACTGCTCCCTGCAGCACTTGTTCTGCTGATAAACAGAAGTCTTGAGGCCAAGAAGTGATTACTTAAAATTATGATAGCTGAAAAAAAAAAGGCAAAGCAGTTACTTCATTTGAGACTTCCTTAATACAAGTTCTAGCTGTATTTAAATGTGCTTCCAACAAACCAAATAACTTGCTTTAACTTCAGCAGTTAACAGAGCTTAGAAACACAATACTGTGTAACTGTAAAATAAATAAATGGCCACTATCCCAGCAAATAAACAAAATATGCTTTAAAATGCATTTTTCATCAAAATCAAGGACCCAGTATTTGCACATTTACATGCTAATTTGCCAAATCCAGGAGTGTCAAATGGCTATCCTAGTAGTTACAGTGTACTAGCAAGGGCCTATTGGGCCTAAATTACTCAAAACATTCCTCAAAGTTACAACCCATTTATAAATAGTTAGATTCTGACCTGGAGAGAATAAAATATAAGAGCAGTCAGCCCAATCCAGCTGTGCAGACTGTACATGTTAGGAATGTTCTTGGCATTGTGGTAATCAAACACGGCTACCATAGAAACAATTGCAAGAATCATGGCTATGGTATTTAATCCAGCGTGTATGAACTTCATTAGGAGTTTGCTGCACTTCCAGGTCCAGGGCAGTCTGTACACAATAATAGCTGAAGAAAAGAACAGAAACAAGATTTTATGCCTTATAACTTCTCTCAGATGTTAATAATTACACATAATTCACATCGTTCCACGGTAAATTACAGCAAAATCCAACCTTTAGTCCTCTATAAAAGTCTATTAAAAGGCTTTTTCTCATACACAAAACATAGCATGTTCCAAATATACAACTGAGGCTTAAATACAGCTTTTAGGGAGATTTTAAAAATCCCAAATTTAAGCATGTTTAAAAAAAAAACCAACAAAAAACCCGCAAACCAGTAAACAACTTGGTGCCATCTTTTCCTCAGTCATTAAATTGATCTAACAGGGATTCTGCATAGGATTTTGATTTTTCTCCTACTAGTGAGATAGACCCTGAGTCTTCTATTTAGAAAATCTCACTTGTTGAGAATGTGTGTCAGATTATTTTTCTAATATTTATTCTCTTTGTCAACTTTGGATAATGCGATTCTTGAATTATGTAAATATTTATATGACCATCTATTGCACTGATATTAACAGGTCTGCTTTAAATGGAAAAGTGCTCTTCAGCATAAGGGAATCATAACCTTACTTGTAAGAGACAAAAGCATTTGGCACATACAACTCTTCCACCACTTTTAGATGAATGTAGGGGGTTTTTGCCTATACTTGCTTTAATAACTGTAGCAGACAGTCCAGTCTGAACAAAACAGCAATCCAGTGTTGGAGCCAGTGATCCAACACTAGATGGTCCATAAGAATAACTTAGCATAGAGCTGCTTCTTCAAGATCCCCACCGCCCCTTCCCTGCCACAACTGTCCCCTGCCTGTCATATGACCCAGGTGCTTTCCACAGCAGATGCAAACAGGCCAGATTAGATCACTGAAGCCCCAGGTACATCTGACTACAAACCACGTAGTAATTCTGGGTGTGTAACAACACATATTTAGATAAGAGGGGTCAAATATTTATGAGGACAAGTGATAACCTGACCAATAAAAGCTAATGCCCACATCCATAATGTCTTGGCTGAGCAAAAAGCTCCATTCAGTGACTCAGCACATCTTCATTTAAGATTTCTGCTTATGGAATTACACTAAAATTTTTACATATGATTAGATACACTAAAACAAAAGAGTAATAATGTATTCAGGTTTTAAAAGCTTCCTGTTCCAAATATAGAAATAGAAAAGTATTACCTTAATGCAAAGATTAGGAGTTTTCTTAAGTGATTCTCATGTGCCTTAGTCATTACTCATGACTTCTCTGTAACCCTAGCTTTTTAGGCAAAAAGCATAGATTATAAATAGAATATTCTTTCTATATGTAGTGGTGAACAACAATAATAAATGATTTATTAATTTCAAAGTTCTGTTTACACTTTTTTTTTTACTTGGATGCATGCCAGTAAATACAATACTGCACTAAATAATTCACAAAGAAAACACTGTTCATGAGTCAAATTTCCAGACTGTGATCTGATTTTAAATCAATGTGAGCTTTTACATACTGTGTGAAAATATAATACTGGAATGAATGTGTCCCTTAAAATATTTAAATATATTCAGCACTTAGGCAGTTCTCAGCTTTCTACTTTAAAAAACAAGAGTAGTAAATCCTACAAAATCAGGAAGAGATTGTTTTTAGGAAGGTTTTACTGTCTTATGTAAGTATGACTCAGCACACCAAGCTTACGATCACTTCCAGCAGTTCCCCAAAAGTTAAATGGTAATGTTAGAATCATAGAATCATTGGGTTGGAAAAGACCTCTCAGACCATCAAGTTCAACCATTAACCTATCGCTGCCATGTTCACACTAAACCATATCCTTGAGCACCACATATGCACGTTCTTTGAACACTTCCAGGGACAGTGATTCTACCTCTTTGCTGGGCACCCTGTTCTAATACCTGATCACCTTCTGGTGAAGAAATTACTCCAAGTATCCAGTCTGAAGGGCACTGGTGCAACTGGCCATTTTCTCTTGTTACTTGGGAGATAAGATCAATCCCCACTAGCTACTATCTCCTTTCAGGTAGTTGTAGAGAATGATAAGTTCCTCCCTGAGCCTCCTTTTCTCCAGGCTTAATGACCCCAGCTCCCTCACCTGCTCATCAGACTTGTTCTCCAGACCCTTTACCACCTCTGCTGCCCTCCTCTGGACTCACTCCAGCACCTCAATGTCTGGCTTCAATCGAGGGGCCCAGAACTGAACACAGCACTTGAGGTGCAGCCTCACCAGTGCCCAGTACAGGGGGACAATCACTGCCCTGGTCCTGCTGGTGGCACTGTTTCTGATATAAGCCAACATTCTGTTGGCCGCCTTGGCCACCTGGGCACACTGCTGGCTCACGCTCAGCCAGCTGCCAATAATATCCTGCATTAGACTATTATTGAATCAACTTAGTGCTGATGATAATGATTTCTAATTTCATAAAGCAGATATGTCAAAGGGCCTCAAACAAGCCTCAGCATCCCATGAGGATATTCCCAGCAAATCCTCCTTACCATTTGGCCCATAGTACTGTCAATCATTTATTCAAAGTGCAGCTGAGTACTGGACTCTGTATGTCTTAAAGAAAACTTCATGAGCATAGGCTTTCAGTCTAATTTTTCAGTCTTTGATCTCAGACAGAACAAGTCTGGGCTAAAATTTTTGTATAACATTTTTCTGTTTTCATCTAGTTGTTTTAACTTCAAAAATCACTATCAGATTCACCAGTCCACATGGTCCTTGTCCATGTGCCTTGTCCACATAGTGTCAGATCTCCATCTGGGCCTTGAATTCTCTGGGCTGTTTCCCATAAACAGTATGATAGAAAACCAAGGAATACAGACTGGACGCTTGTTAACAATGCCATGCATTAGTACGTTACATGCCACAGCCTGGGACATATGAATGGTAGTACAATTTGTTTTAATTCTCTTTCTGTGAAGACTATGTGTGAAGCTACACATTGCAGCTTGAGCAGATCTGACTGTTTATCAGTGTGAAAAGACACAGTCTTATTTTCCCATCACCTCTTCTGTGTGCTTTTCCTAGTGCTTTTCTGAACTGCCAGAGGAAACAAGACAGTCTGGGGAACAAAGGGGAGAAAAGGAAGATTTGTCTTTCAGTAGTGCAAGCTCTTAAAACTTACTCAGATGTGATGTGTAATTTCATCTCAAAATTAAGGCCTGGGTTAAAAGCACATACACAGTTACAGAATTTTTAGTGGGAACATGGTAAAGCAGCTCTGTGAATAACTTTCTCTAGGTACAGCATCTCCAGTACTGTTAAGAGATTTGATAGTCTAGGCACCCTAGACTGAACTTTTGAGGATGGGAGAAAGGCTACCCCACCTTCCTTGTTCTGACTCACTCTTTATTCACTCTTCCACCACCCCAAAAGCCACCACGCAGCTCCTCAGTCTGCAACAGAGATTGCCACATCTCTGTAGAAAAAAAGATATTCTTTTATAAAGTGAGTAATGGGAAATTCTCAAAAACCATTTTTATCACATTATATCTTGATGGATTTCTTAATTATTCCTATAAGAGGACTAATCATTTGCAGGCCAAAATGAACTATCATGCAAATATTCCTTTGGATCATGCCCCGAGTCTGTAGTCACTGTTCAACAATTGCACATGTAAATTTATTTACTTATTTAACCCATTCCATCACACTACTATTCCTTCAAGCTCTTCTTAAAAATTTTTTCATCATGTTTTTTTCTTATTATTTTCAAAAATGTTGCTGTACTAATAGCACACAGTTTTATTGCCTCTGTTTTTCCCACTTTAAGTCTAGGAAATCTTGTGGACAATTACTGTGCACTGACAGTGTTTTGTCAGGTATCATTTACCCATAGGTGCTGATCCATAAATATTAAATCTTAATATTACCATGCCTATAGCTTTTCCATTTGATTGACAAGATATATACAACACTTTTATTAGGGCATACTACTTCCCAGTATGCACATTATATTATAGTCATCTCTTCTACCTCCTACAGACAATACAACATTTCCATCCTTTGAATAGACTAATAAACTCAAGAAACAATTGGTTTTGTTATTATTTAAAATCCTCCACAAAAATTTAACCAAGATTTTTTTACATACTCCTACTTTTAACTACTTAAAGACTTGTGTTTCTTGTGTGTTTCCAAAGAGGTATCTCTTTTCCCAGTCTCCTCCAAATTACTTTGGATTCAGGGGCAGACTTTTGTCAATCAAATTTGAATCAGATTCACAGTGGTATCTGTTGATATTTTATCTGATTTACTACAATACTCCTTCAGTCTCAAACTTTGTTTTCATGTTATATAACAGAATTTCCTCCCCAAAGAATGATCAAAGTGAATTCTTTCTATATGTGGAGATTTTTAACTATGGTAAATCTCCATTTACTTTACATATATCCTTACCTACAGAAGGTTTAAGACAACACCCTTTCTCTGTGACACAGGGAAAAAATTGAGTTTCAAAGGGAAAAAAATATAAAATACATTGGAAAAAGCTGCAGAAAACCTCCCCCTATTTTCTTAAAAAATGCTATGCTTATATAAAAAAACCAGTAGCTTAGGCACAATAAGTAGTACAGAATATATATTAATGAAGTCAACAGGTGAATTTCATTGCTTATTTATAGCCTGAAATTACACTTCCTATTGAGCAATATTATGTAGAACAACTTCAAAATACTGTTTATTGCTCAATAGTAGTTTGTAACTTGAAGCCACAAAACTGAGAACACCCCCACTCCCAGTGGAAAAAAAAATTTACAGTGTATGTTCAAATCTCAACATTCCCTTCATCGCCAGAACTAGACAGCCTTCGGCATCTTCCAACCTCTTGACTGGTTGAGCTCCTGCTGGAGAGCAAGCGAGCACACACGTGATACAAACAACGTGTTCCACTGAAATGAATGCTGGACAAGTTTTCTGGCTGGATGAATGCGATGTATCATTCAGCAGTGAAGCAAATGTAAATAAGGTTATTAAAAATTAAATTCTAAGTTTGTCTAGATAAAATTGGA